CAATTCTAATGCCATTTGTAACATTCTTCAGTCTGTGAATAAATATGTGAACCTTGATGAATGCTCTATAAATTTTACCCGAAACTAATTATACTAATTGTTATACGATAGCCCAGATGTATCTATTTTTTTTCCTTGGCACTACAGCCCCAGGGGTCTAGGCCTACCTCCATGAACTCCGTTCACTTCGGTTTTTCTCGATCTTACACATTCGGTAGGACGTCTTGGGCGGGTGGTCAGCTCGTCGCAAGGCCTCTACCTGTACACAAACCCAGAAAAACTCACACAAACATCCATGCCCTGAGTGGGATTCGAACCCATGATCCCGGCTTCCGAGCGAGCGAATACTGTGCATGCTTTAGACCGATCGGCTACCGTGACCGGCGATGTATCTATTTATATGTTCCTAATTCTTTCGTTCCGGGGTTCGATCAAATAAGGCTTCTTTTTATATTTCCTGTAAATTTAAATTTAAATTTTCCTGTGCTGCAGATGCTTAGACTTAAAGAGCTAATAAATGGCAGGATAATATTATCTTCACTGATAATTCCACACACCAGAGATAAAAACATATATAAAATTTCGAGAACCGATCTCAGTGATCGTGAGATATGTGGTAGGAAATGGACCTCACCCGGCCGAACACTGAGCTCGTGGATTCGAATCCCACTAGAAGAACTGAAGTATATCAACGATTTTCTCTGTATTTCTTTCTCGTGTACGTAGCGGCTTTGTGAGGGCTGATGCTCACTCCAAAGTGTCCTAACATCTCTAAGTAAGATTAAGAGTGTTCAGATAATTCTAAAATAGGAACAGGGAAGAGGATTCATCTGACAGAGGAAGAGGAAGAAGATGCGAAGAAGGAGAAGCAATGTATCTCGTTCGTGTATGGAAAATCTTAGCACAGTAATCAACCGATTTTAGCGATCAGGTGACCGCTGAGAGAATTTTGCTGCTCATGTACTGGGATGAAAGCGGACTCCGTAGTATAGAGGTAACGTTCCCTCCTCATGACTCGTGGTACGCGGGTTCAAACCCGGCGGAGTTCGTGGAAATTTTAAGGTCGGAAAAATTCAGAAAACAAGCCGTGGGTCCCGTGTCATAGCTTTACGGCACGTAAAAGAACCTCATGTGCTAATGGGACCACTGAGCTAAAATTCTGAACATTTCCCGCCCAACAGTAGTCTCTAACGCCTCTGGTAGATGGGGGAAGCATCTAGATACCGCTGAGACAGTAGAGGCCGAACTCGCTGGCTGCGTCGGGACTGATGGGACGTACCAGTATCGGTAGCGTATAGAGACTGGTAGAATATCACAGTGGGACGTACAGTAGACCACTGGTGGCGGTGCATGGGGAAACACATTCCCTCTTATAATAATAATAATAATAATAATAATAATAATAATAATAATAATAATAATAATAAATTATAATACTGGGATGAACGATCGTGAGTCAGCGGTTTTTGCTGTTTGGTCTTTCGTTGTGTAATCGTTTGGACGTTTAAATTTACTCAAACCCTCCCAGGTAGAAAATCTTCCGCTTCGTCAAGCTGGACCTCTGAGAGTACTGCGACGTTTGTGTTTTGGCTCCTCTGTTGGAATCCTAGGACCTAGTCTCTCAGACTTCTACAGTTCCATTTCACAAGCTGAATTGGTTGACTGCCGTTGAGTTTTGTTGTAACGTTGCTTTTGAAGCTCGACGGCTGTCCTCAAGTTTCTAACGATTGCTGTAACATCCCCGGAGTTTATCACCAAATTGATTAAGGTCACCATTCAGTCTTGTCTTCCTCCTCCATTTGAATGAACTCCAAAGATTTCTCTAACATTCCCTGGATTTTGAACTTTTTTCCTCCAATTGTTGGGGCTTGGTTCAGATATTTCTTTTATTGCTAGTGGGGTGGGACTAAGTCCCTTGTACTGCTGCCACATCTGGCCTATTGTCCCAGTCCCAGAAAATGGTCGGAGAAAACCTACCTCACCTCCATTTTGTCCACCACAAATCCCACTTGACCCGACAAGTGATCGAACCAGGGCCGACGCAGTGGGAAGCCAGGGACTAACCGCTTGAACTATGGCGCGGCCGAACAAAGGTATGATTTAGGAAGAAATAAATACACAGATAAACAATGGAAGGCAGAAAGAAAGAAAGAAGGAAAAGAAGAAATAGGAAGGAAAGAAAGCAGAATGCGATGTCCGAAGAACCTTGAAAATGTTGTTGAGTCACTTAGAATACCGTGTCGCAATTCTCGTATCTTATGAATAAGAAATTAGCCCACATAAAGAAACGAGTGCCGGTCACGGTAGCCGAGCGGTCTAAGGCATGAACTGTCTTCGCTCGCTCGGAAGCCGGGATCGTGTGTTCGAATCCCACTCAGGGCATAGATGTTTGTGTGCGTTTTTCTGTGTTTCTCTACAGGTAGTGGCCTTGCGACGAGCTGATCCCTCGCCCAAGGTGTCCTACCGTATGTGTAAGCTCTAGTAAACCGAAGAGAAACGGAGAGTATCATGGAGGTAGGCCTAGGCCCAAATTGGGGCTGTAGCGCCACAGGAAAAAAAAGATACGATTAATGTTTTTGTTTTGTGATAGAGCGGCCTCGTGATATTAAATTAGTTTCTGTTCTTAGTTTCTTGGTGTGGGGTGAGACTGAATCCACTTGGTACGTCGGCCAGTAATTCGACAATTGTACCAGCACCGGATGATACATTACGAATGTGGATCAACAGGGGTATGAGAATTAGCAAGGAAACTGAACAACTTGCAGAAGAGCCGCTCAGTATCAATTTCTCAACAATAATTCCCACATGGCTTGACTTGGGCTCGAACCGGACCACCGCAGTGGGAAGCATGGCCTGATATTAAAATAACTCATGACTGAATAATGAGTCACACTAGTCAAAATGTTGACTGGTCGAGACTGCAGAACGTGTCAAGTCCCAGATACACGGACATTGCAGAAGCTGAGAATGAAGGTCATTTGGTTCTTAGCATCCCTTGCGGTTAGCCGATCTCCCATCCGAGGATTCCAATGGAAGCTAATTTCCTAGGCAGAACTACGAACGCCACCGTCGATGTCGCAAGAACCAAGAACTTCTTTGCTTCAGTTCAGTTATCGTATACGGTACCTGCAGGCTCCCTTTACTTGGGATGCTTTCCCGTGGGTAAATTGTTCCGGGACATGAATATGACCACTCAATCCCCATATAGCGACAAGGTTAAAAGCGGGCGACTATACAATTCCATTCCTCATCCGTCGTCATGACGTGAAGCTTAATTAGCGCAGGGACAAACTTAGTTCATTCTATTTATGCCTCTACAGCCCTTTGTTGGACCGTGGCCGCTGTTTCAATATCGTGATCTCTTTGCACACCTGGTAGGACTCCTTGGACGAGGGATTGGCCGGTCGCAAGAGCGTTACCTACACACAGGACGACGCAAACTCAGAATAAACTCACACAGACATCCATGCTTCAGGTGGGATTCAAACTCACTACCCAATTGTTTGAGCGGACGAAGACAGTTCATGCCTTAGACCGCGTGGCCAATGTGTTTGGCCAACATTGGTTCTACTACCAATTAAAGAATACTTGTGCTTTTCGAGAGAATGTACCGCTTGAAGATGGAGGCGACACGTTCTTCATAAACATCGGTTAACACAATATCTACACGGCGTCACATCCAAGAAGACTGCTCCTTTCCTCATCTGGTGTCGTTTAGTGTTAAGGTGCTGAATTTGTACAGAATATGAATCCATATTTTGGGTCAACTGTATGCTATATAATATTGTAGCGTGTTGTGTGTGTCAGGCTACAAATAAGTTTACGCCGTGGTGTTTGATATAGCGAATTTAGTCCACTCGCTCACCCTACACACCTTACAATCATTTGCTCTTGCAGTGTTATAATTACTGCTTACAATATCTCGGCGGTACTGGACTGTCTTCTCTGGCGGTTTACAGCAGACTCACTGTGCGAATGCATTCAACCCCGTTTTATAACCTCGGTCGCTGCTATGCAACAAACCCTCTGTTATAACCATGGAGACTCCTGTTAGAATTACAATAGCGAGCGATTGTTGTTTCCGATGCAACGGTCTATTCTAGCGTTTCCATAGAAGTGACTCTTCTGGATTCCCGACAAGTTACAGTATCAATAAATATAAAGATAAATATTGTTAGGTACGATGGTGTGCGTGACTAATAATAGCGGTTCCTGGATTACATGATTGGATTAATTGGCACTTCTGTTACAATTACAACCAAATGCAACAGCTCACAAGCAATGACTGACTAAGACTCGCTACGAGTGTCTTCTGTTCCACTGTGACGAATGACGAACGAAGGAACCCTGCTCTCCCATTGAACTCTCATACGAATCCGAAAAACTGAACCCTCCTGAGATGAACTAACTTCAAGGCGAATCGAATATATGTCACCATGTCGTACAGTTCCTGTGTCATTCTATATTTCTCTGTTTAAACTTATGCATGGGAAAGTGCTTACCGAACCGTTGTCAAGCAATGCACTATCCCCGCTTTCAGGCGTCATGTGAAAATTGACGTGTAAATATTTCATAGCAAAGTGATTCGGATAAAAATATGTCAATTCATACCAAATTTTGAGAGAATTCTACAAAACGTCAGTGATAACATTGTAATATTTAGAAAGTTGGCACTAGAAGGAACATTGAGTCCCATTTACTTACGCTTACGGAAAGATTTACACTTATAAATTCTTCTCCTTTAGTCACATGTATCAATTAAAAACCGACAAATTTTCACGAAGCCGTCAAGGCTAACCAATACTGGGATGTTAACCAACCTATTGTGGGGAAAAAGCCACATTTTTGTTATTTTCAACTACGATATGTGTTTCTAGTTATATTGTATCGGTAATATTGTTCGAAATTATCAACCATGTGACACAAATAAAATGTAATATACTTTCTAAGTCGCCTATATAAGACAGGGCACCAGTACTACTGACTATACACGTACTTACCTGGCAGAATAAGTCTATTCTAGAAACATGGGACGTCGAATCTTGCTTGTCTTCGTGGTGGTGGCAACCATTCTGCTGTCAATGGGTGAGTACAAACAAGTAACGCACAATCTCGTAGCCCGTGTGTTAATTTCCAGAACGTAAATCTAAAAGCAATGTTAATATCTCCTTCCCCTTAAAACCACACTACTGGTGGTATACCCAAATTTGTATATCATAGGTCTGGGTTCCCAGAGAACGGTATCCCTTAAGGTTAAGCTACAAACACTGGTTAGCTTAAGATTTCAACATACTAGAATGTGAAGCCTTGTAAATTTGTAGATAGGTATCAAAATTATAAAAGAATGCCTTGCCTTTATCTCCAAAGTAGATGACTCTCTTTCCTTCCCCCCTTCTACCCTGTAGAACGAGGAGGCATGCTCCTTTCAAGTGTTGGAACCTCTCTAAGAAACTACACGGCTTCGTATTCAAAAGACAGAAACCCTCACAATCACGTCTGTAAGAACATAAAATTTCACACCACAGTAACAGAAACTAAATTATTCAACGCCGCTACTACCAAAGTCCCCCACTCGAAGTCATAATAAGCCAGTAGCATCCACTTCAGATCCTCCTGAGTTGTATAGCTCATATCCAACAAATTGCAATCATCGCATGTCTTCGCAGTTTTCTAATTGGGCTTTTCCGCTTTTTCCTACTACACTACATTTTTATTGCTAGTGTGGTGGGTCTAAGCCCTTGTATTGCGGCCACTTCTCGCCTGTTTTACCAGCCCCAGATGAGAATTGAGGGTGATTGTGGAACATTTGTTGAAATGAAGATTGGCAGGGGAAACCGAAGTACTAGGAGAAAACCTGCCCCAGCGCCACTTTGTCCACAACAAATCCCACTTGACGAGACCCGGGATTGAATCGGGTTGGCGCGGTGGGAAACCAGCGACTAACCAGTTGAGCTATGGCGCGGCCCAAGTACTACTCTAATTGGGATCAAACGGATGGGTCTAGCAGGGAAGTTTGGACTTTACTCAGGAGATTTCGCCGGTCACAGTGGTCTTATGAAATGTTTTCGTCCAATCAAACGCTTGGATTGTGGGTTCGAATCCCACTTATATCATGGGCCTCTGTTTGCCTTTAATCTGTGTTTGTGCTATCCTGTGTGTTCACGTGGCGGCCTCGCGACGGACTGATCCCCTGTTCAAGGAGTGCTACCGCCTGAGTAAAAATCAAGAAAATGAAATAACGGCCAAAGTCCGACAAAAGAGCTGTACAGATATAGATATATTGATTCAGGATATTCTATGTTCTAATCACTTCCGGCGAACGGACTATCTTACGTTTCGCGGTATTCCTCAGTCCTTCCGCGAAAATGCCAGGAACCTACCTTGATTAGGCCATCACTGAATCCTTCCAAAGATTTCCAGTTCACCAGTCATTCTTTAATCCGAGGCTATATAATCTAGAAACAGAGAGGATTGTACGAGAACCCACAGGACCCACATTAAGTGGCGCCTTCGTTACCACAATGTTCTTCGTTCTCGAGAAGAAAGTTTTCAGACGTGGAGAATAGTTATGAATATACTGAATAAGCCGTCGCGGAGGGCCGACAAGGGACTTCTTTTTAGCTTGTGAGATTGGCCGTATGATTAACAAGCATTAAGCGTAAACTAAGACTTCAGAATTATATGGACTTTCAAATGTTAGACTCGAAAATAATTTACCTTATATTTCTCAAAATTTTTATGAATGTTTTCTCATATTAACGACTAATGGTCGTGTGACTGTTTGACTACGCTAGTGACCATATCTGCGAATTTTAATACATTGAAAATTGATTTTCTGAAATTTACTGACTTGAAACAACTGTTACGTGTCCTATATAATAAGGATGCTTTTGTGTTAATTTTTTGTTTATTCATAAATATTTGAATTAGTTTCAATAGTTATTTAAGAAGAAATATGTTAATTTCTACTAATATAAATACACTTCGACCTCAACGCAAATATTTCTAATTTTATTGGAGTTCTGCCTGCTCGGATTTGCCCCCGTTTTCTACAACCGAGTATTATAGCTCTGCTTACATGTAAGTTTTTAAATACTCATATTTGTGTATATGTTCTGTTGCTGGTGTAATGAAACAAGAAATTTCTTTTCTGTTTCAGGAGTGGAGGCAGACCCATTTGTGAGTTAACATTTTAAGGCCTCTTTGGCATTTAGCAGCAGCAGAAACACTTCCTACACCTTTTCTATCCGAGGAAGCCTCCGACGGATCGTGACTCAAGGACAATTTTGCCTAATTCTCCTCGGAATTTGTTGAATCAACCTGCCTACTCCGTAATTGTGGAACGCCCTAGAAATGATGGGCTATTAACTGCGCTCTTCTCTCTCTGTTCGGCCCAGTTGCACGTGTCTCGCAATTGAAATTTACATATCCAATCATATTTGTGAGACAACTTCATGTCTCTATTTACGGGGGATCGATCGGCAATTATTATTGTTAATATTACTCTCTTCGTGAATCTATTATTCTAAACTCAAGGAGGATGCTATATGCACCTCCCCGTCATATTGTTACTTGGAGCTGTTTACAGTATTAACATGCTTGACCTAATCTTTATAAATATGACGGGATCTCATGTCTGTTCCTACCGACCCTGGATTGGTCACGCCCGATTCACATCACATTCATCTGAGTTCTGTTGTCTTTCTATCCCATGTTAACAATAATTTCAATTGCGAATTCAGGTATCGAATTTTCACAGCAGGTAACTATACGTTACTTTAGAATATTCTATTTACGTATGGTTGTCCAAGCTGCCGTCGGAGTTGCCAGTGTGCAGGCAATTCCTCGAGGTTATAGCCGCAAGTAAAATTTTCCTCCCTGGTTCTCCCTTAACTTATGGCACTACATCGTTAAGAAAAACTACGTATTTCCACCGTCGTTTTAAAAAGTATCCTCCCAATTAGTCTAACGACAGATAACCGTTTTACCGAACACTCATAAAACCGTATGTCTGACAGGCGTACACAGTAGAATTCAATTGAGAGTAATTCAAGTTGACAGCCCCAACATTTCTGGAAATAAATATTTACTCGTAATTTCAGGAAATATAGAAATGTTTCCAATCAGCTATAGCAAATGTAATCCAGCCTAATTCATTTGCTGATGCTTTCGTTAAGTACTTTCAGTCTGTAAGATTTGAGGCTTTCACGGCGGTGACTATGAAGAAAGCAGTCTTCTGGGATTTGAGAAAAAATATATAAGAAATCTGCAAGCAAAGAGACCGTGAGAACCGGTAAAAGCAGACTGGTTTTACCGGTTCTCACGGTCTCTTTGCTTGCAGATTTCTTATATATTTTTTCTTCTACCCTGAAGATGGAGGCGATACGTTCCTCCGAAACGTCGGTTAACACCACATATACACGGTGCAAAATCCCAGAAGACTGCTTTCTTTCACTTTCAGTCTGTTTACAATAACCACTGCTCTATGGAATTTCTCCCCCTCTCGCAATCTTCTGAATTTTTATTCCTTGTCCCCATTTACGTTGCGGATGACTGCAAAGCCATTAAGAGAGTAAAACCTTCCAAATATATTGAACTTGACGATTTCCCTGGTTTTATCATAAAAGTTTGTTCGGGTATTATTATTCCCATTCTTAGGCATATATACGTATTTATCTCGAGCCTGACCCAGTAACATTTCCCTGCTGTAAGGAAAGTCTGATTTTTTATATCCCTATATAAAACAGGCAATCATGTGGCTGTGAGCAAAAGGAGATCCAATTCTCTTCTCAGTAATTTCTCTAAGTTGTCTGAATTCATTATTCATGATCATGTTTTGCATTATACTAATTTTAATTCCAATCAACATGGATTCACCAGAACTAAATCTACAATTACACCTTTGCTGGCATTTCGTGATTCTTTGATTTCTGTTGTCCGCGTTCATTGTCAAGCTGTTGATGTATATTTTAATCTTTCAAAAGCTTTTGACCTCGTCCCTCATAATATCATCGTGCATAAATTAACCTCCTTCGAATTCTCTGGTATTTCTGTTCTCTGGTTTCACAGTCACTTAACCAACAGACAATATCGGGTTCGCGTCTCTGGCACTCTCTCCCTGCCTTTAATTTATTTTAATTTAACCTTTAATTTTTTCCGATGATATCAAAAACTTTCCGCGTCATTAACTCTTCACATTATTGCCCCTTACTCCTATCTGAACTTAATTCCGTCAGTGACTGGTGCACTGCTAACTCCATGAGAATTAATATTTCTAAAACGCGGGTTGTGTCGTTTGCCATGAAAAATAAGTTTCTGTGTTAGTTTTGCCATGCTAACATTACACGCCCCAGAAGTATTAAGGACCTAGATGTTTTCTTTTATTTAAAGTTTCATTTTCACAGCCATGTTGATTACGTTTTTTCCAAATGCATGATGCTTTTAGGTCTCATTCCCTCTATAATCTACAGATCTTCTTCCATAGACTGCTTGTATGTATTATACTTTACTTTAGTCAAGTCTAAGTTGGAACATGCCTCAGTAGATCTGAACACATTCACTTTCACTGATGCCAGTAAGCTTGAGCGCACCCAGCAGAAGTTTTGTTCCGTCAATTTTTACCTTTCTTTACTCTAATATCCCATATCCTTACACCATTGCCTTAGAGGAATTAAGTCTACAATCTTTACCTAAACTGAGTCATCACATTGCTCAGGTCTATTGTGGCCTTGAAACCTGCTCTTCCATTTTGGAAATTGTTAGACTTCTTATTCCTCCGAGCAATCACAGGGACTTCTCATTGCTTGGTGTTTGTCCCTCTAATAAACACTGCCCTTCTGCTCGGTGCGCCTCTGCTGCCAAAGCGGTGGGTAAAGATCTCGACATATTTGCAATCGGACTGTCTCTCTCTATCACATTTATACTCATCAACCTAAAATCGTTAATAAAATTTGTTCACAATTCTAATATTCAGTGATATGCAGTTCTGAGTTATTAGGTTCATCGTACCACTCTGCATCTTTGTTTGCTTGTTTGTTTAATTTTCTGTATTAATGTAGTTTTCCTCCAGTTCTTGTCGGTAAATTGTCTTTCTTAATGTGGTTACCTGTATCGTCTCTGTGGTGTGTCTGAAGTTGGCCTTGTGCTGTTGACTCGACACAAAAATAACAAAGAATTGAATCATCATCATCATCATCATTTTGTCATCATCTGTTTCAGATGTTTCACCATTATTTCTACAAAAAGAAGCCACATGATCGCTAGACAACCACGACATCCACAACCACAGTCGCTCCGTGATTCGACTTGGCCGATGTGACTTATGATGACTTGTTTTGGTGCGCTACTGCAACACATCATTGATATGGAGACTTCTTCACACAGCCTGCACTATGAATGAAGCACTGATCTTCCAATTTCTCGCACTGTTATTTGCATTTAATATCACCGATAAGGAACTTCACATGAATTATATTACAATTTATTTTACATAATTCTGTATTGACAATTCTAATGCCATTTGTAACATTCTTCAGTCTGTGAATAAATATGTGAACTTTGATGAATGCTCTAAAAATTTCACCCGAAAGCTAACTATACTATTTGTTATACCGGGGGCCCAGACGTATCTCTTATATGTTCGTAATACTTTCGGCCCTGTGTTCGATCTACTAAGGCTTCTTTTAATATTTCCGTATTAATTCATACATTTACATTTTCTTGTGCTGCAGATGCTTAGACTGAAAGGGTCAATAAATTGCAGGATAATATTATCTTCACTGATAATTCCACACACCAGAGATAAAAACGTATATAAAATTTCGAGAACCGATCTCAGTGATCGTGAGAAAAATGATAGGAAATACGCATCACCCAGCCGAACACTGAGATCGTGGATTCGAATCCCACCAGAGGCATTGAAGTATATCTACGGTTTTCTCTGTATTTGTTTCTCGTGTACGTAGCGGCTAGGTGAGGGCTGATGCACCCTCCAAAATATACTAACATCTGTCTGAGAGATTAAGAGTGTTCAGATAATTCTGAAATAGGAACAGGGAAGAGGGTTCATCCACCAAAGTAAGAAGAAGAAGAAGAAGAAAGAGAAGCAATGTATCTCGTTCGTGTATGGAAGACCTTAGCACAGTAATCAACAGATTTTAGCGATCCGCTGAACGCTGACAGTATTTTGCTGCTCATATAATGGGATGAACGATCGTGAGTCAGCGGTTTTTGCTGTTTGGTTTTGTTGTGTAATGGTATAGATGTTTAAATTGACTCAAACCCTCCCAGGTAGAAAATCTTCCGCTTTGTCAAGCTGGACGTATGAGAGTACTGCGACATCTACGTTTTGGCTCCTCTGTTGGAATCCTAGGAGTTTGTCTCTCAGACTTCTACAGTTCCATTGAACAATCTGAATTGGTTGACTCCCGTTGAATTTTGTTGTAATGTTGCTCTTGAAACTCGAAGGCTGTACGCAAGTATCTGACCATTGCTGTAACTTCCCCGGTGTTTATCACCAATTTGATTAATGTCACCATTCAGTCTTCGTCCTCCATTTCAATGGACTCTAAAGAGTTCTCTAACACTATGGATTTTAAACTTTTCTTCTCCCAATTTTGGGGCTTGGTTCAGATATTTCTTTTATTGCTCTTGGAGTGGCACTAAGTCCCTTGTACTGCGGCCACTTCTGGCCTATTGCATCAGCCCCAGAAGATGCTCGGAGAAAACCTGCCGCAGCCCCACATTTTCCACCACAAATCTCACATGAACAGACCCGGGATCGAACCCGGGCCGACGCGGTGGGAAGCCGTGGACTGACCGCTTGAGCTATGCTGCGACCAAACAAAGATATAAAACAGGAAGAAATAAATACATAGATAAACAATGGAAGGCAGAAAGGAAGAAAGAAAGAAGGAAAAGAAGCAATAGGAAGGAAAGAAAGCAGAATGCGATGTCCGAAGAACCTTGAAAATGTTGTTGAGTCACTTAGAATACCGTGTCGCAATCTCCTATCTTATGAATAAGAAATTAGTCCACGTAAAGATACGAGTAGTGCTTTTGTTTTGTGATAGAGCGGCCTCGTGATATTAAATTATTTTGTGCTTTTTAGTTTCTTCGTGTACGACGAGACTGAATCCACTTCTTCGCCAATTGTACCAGCCCCGGGTGATAGATTATGAATGTGGATCAACAGTGGTATGAGAATTAGAAGTGGAAACCGAAGTACTTGCAGCAATGCCGCCCAGTACCACTGTGTCCACAATAAATACACCATGGCTTGACCTGGGCTCCAACCGGACCACCGCACTGGGAAGCATGGCTGATATTAAAATAACTCATGACTGAATAATGAGTCACAGTAGTCAAAATGTTGACTGGTCGAGACTGTAGAATGTGTCAAGTCCTAGATACACGGACATTGAAAGGCTCAGAATGAAGGTCATTCGGTTCTTAGCATCCCTTGCGGGTAGCCGATCTCCCATCCGAGGATTCCAATAGAAGCTTCTTTCCTAGGCAGAACTACGAACGCCGCTGCAGATGACGCAAGAACCCAGAACTCCGTTACTTCAGGCTCGGTTTATTTTGGATGTTTTCCCGTGGGTAAATTGTTCCGGGACATGAATATGAAAACTCAATCCCCATATAGCGCCAAGGTTAGGAGCGCGCGACTATACACTTCCATTCCTCATCCGTCGTCATGACGTGAAGCTTAATTAGCGCAGGAACAACCTTAGTTCATTCTATTTATGCCTCTACAGCCCTTTGATGGACCGTGGCCGCTGTTTCAGTACCGTGATCTCATTATACAGATGGTAGGACTCCTTGGACGAGGGATCAGCCGGTCGCAAGAGCGTTACCTACACACAGGTCGACGCAAACTCAGAATAAACTCACACAGACATCCATGCTTCAAGTGGGATTCAAACTCACTACCCAATTGTTTGAGCGGACGAAGACAGATCATGATTTAGACCTCGTGGTAAATGTGTTTGGCCAACATTGGTTCTACTACTACTTAAAGAATATTTGCACTATTTAGATACCAAAACTGCTCACAGGCAAAAATGAAGCATAGATGTATTTGTGGTATCACGTTGTGGGAATATACAGTTTGCAAACAGTGGAACGTAACCCCACAAATATAAGAAACATAACTTCTGGCGTAGTGAAAAACTAATTTTTTGGCAATAAATATTATTTGATAAAATAGTGATACAATAGTGTATGTATGATTTATTATCAAGAGCCATTTATCCGAACAACTGTTCACCGAGCACTTAAAATTTCCCAGATATACGGTTACTGGGCGGTCACTGTAGCCCAGCTGTCTAAGGCATGTACTATTTTCGCTAGCCCGGAGGCCAGGATCGTGGGTTGGAATCCCATAAAATGCATAGAGTTTTCATATGTGTATATGTTTATTCTGTGTTTGTCTTGTCCTGTGTTTAGGTAGGGGTCTTGAGACGAGTTGATCACTGGTCAAAAGAGTCATAGCGTCTGTATAATGTTCATGAAACAGAAATATCAGAAGCCACGGCCGCAAGGGGCTGTAGAGTCAGCGAAAGAAAAAACAGTTACTGAATAATAGGCTTTTTTTGATGAATCTGCCACCGGTAAAATTTCTTAAGTGGCAATATTGATGAATGTGGTTGGAAGAACAATCTACATGCCAGTGGGTCCGAACACAGAACAAAACATCACACAAAGTTTCCTGACAAATATTTTGAAATCTGGGCAAAAACAAATTAAGATCACTTTGAAATGTCAGTAAAGAAGTATAAACTACAAAAGGCAAACCGAATTATATTTGCACACAGGCTCAAATTATAAGCAAGCGAGAAAATAAGTTGCACACGCATATAAACGGCAAGTAATTTATTCCTCTATAGGACATTTTAAAATTTAAGAATTAAATATTTTAAAACTTCAGAAAATTAAAATTGTATGTCTTTATGGGACAGCGTCTTTGAATATTGTCATGCTAATATCGACTAGATCAGGAAGAAGAAAAACATATATCCAGAAGAGCCAGTGTCGATTAAATCGTTCCTCCTTCTCTAACGAGTACGTCACTTTCTGTGGCTATACGCAGTTTCCTTTTGTGATATAGTCCAGTATGCACGCAGACGGGAAATATAAATAAAATATTTATTGTTTCCGCTAAGAGAACAGTTCTTTAAGAGGTATAAAAATGATTGTTTACATTGAAGTCATAAGGCACTATATGTTTCGACATTTATTGAGTCATCATTTAGTGTCGTTTTGAGGTTTTCACGGCGGGGACTATGAAGAGAGCCGTCTTCTGGGATGTGGCGCTGTGTAGATGTGTTAACCGACGTTTGAGAGAACGTATTGCCTGAAGATAGAGGCGACACGTTCTTCATAAACATCGGTTAACACAATATGTACACGGCGTCACATTCAAGAAGACTGCTCCTTTCCTCATCTGTTGTCGTTTAGTGTTAAGTGATGAACGAAGGAACCCTGCTCACCCATTGAACTCCCATACGATCTGAATGACTGAACGCTCCAAAGATGAACTGACTTTCAGGCGAACCGAATATATGTCACCATGTCATAGAGTTTCTCTCTTATTCTATTTTTCTGTGTTTAACCTTTTCCATGGTAAAGTGCTTACCGAATCGTTGTCTAGCAATGGACTATTCCACCTTTCAGACGGCATGTGAAAATACACGTATAAATATGTCATAGCAAAATGATTCGGATAAAATATGTCAATTCATAACAAATTTCGAGAGATTACTATAAAACTAAAGTGATAACATTGTAATGGTTAGAAAGTTGGCACTAGAAGGAAAATTGTGTTCCATTCACTTACGCTTTCGGAACGATTTACATATAACACTTTTATATTCTTCACCTTTAGTCACACGTGTCAATTAAAACCCGAAAAACATTCACAAAACCTTGAACACTAACCGATATCAGTAATATTGTTCGAAATTATCAAGCATGTGACACAAATAAAGGGTAACATACTTTGTGTGTTGCCTATATAAGACAGGGCTCCAGTACTACTGACTATAGACGTGCTTACCTGGCAGAATAAGTCTATTCTAGAAACATGGGACGTCGAGTCTTGCTTCTCTTCGTGGTGGTGGCAACCATTCTGCTGTCAATGGGTGAGTACAAACAAGTAACGCACAGTCTCTTAGCGTGTGGGTTAATTTCACGAATGGAAATCTAAAAGCAATGTTAATACCTTTTTTCCTTAAAACCACTCTACTGGGATCTTACGTATATCCCCTAACTTGGTAGTAAATGTTAAGAGGAGAGGGGAGCGGTGGGTGGGAGCATTCAATTGCAATGGATGAAACAAGGGTACCGAAGAAAATCTGTTATAGCACGCCAGAACGCAGGAGAAAATGGGTGGTTCCAGATTGATATAATTGAAGATGAAGAGCATGATATACGAGAGCAATAAATGAAAACAGATTGAGAAAAAAGTAAATAATAATACAGATGTAAGATTTGAGGCTTTCACGGCGGTGGCTATGAAGAAAGCAGTCTTCTGGGATTTGGCACCGTGTATATGTGGTATATACACGGTGCCAAATCCCAGAAGACTGCTTTCTTCAATAATACAGATGATTTGGTATATATCAAAGGTCTGGGTTCGCAGAGAACTGCATCCCCTTAGGTTAATCTACAAATACTGTTTAGTTTAAGATACAGCCCTCTAGAATGTGAAGCTGTGTAAGCTGGTAGTTAGGTTTCGGAATTACAGAGGAATGCCTTGCCTTCATCTCCGAAGTAAATGAGTCTATTTCCTTCTTTTTCTACCCTGAAGAAGGATGGAGCATGCTCCTCCAAAACGTTGGAACCTCTCTAAGAGACTACACGGCGTCTCATTCATAAGACAAACACCCTCATGGTCAGGTCTGTAAGAACATAAAATTTCACACCGATTTACGTAACAGAAACAAAATATTCAACACTGCTCTTATCGAAGTCCCACATTCGACGATATCATAAGCCAGTAGCATCCACTTCAGATACTCCCAACTTATATAGCTCAGATACAACTAATTGTTATCCTCTTATGAACTTCGCAGTTCCCTAATTGGGCGTTTTCGCTTTTCAGTACTACACGAAGTGGGACTGAACAGATTGGTCTACCAGGGAAGTTTTGTGTTTATATTCATGAGATTTTGCAGGTCACAGTGGCCGCGCAGGTTAAGGTATGAACTGCATTCACCCACTCAAACACATGGATTGTGGGTTCGAATCCCGCTCATGGCAAGAGTGTCTGTGTGCATTTAATCTATATTTGTGCTATTCTGTTTGTTCAAGTTGGGGCTTCGCGACGGACTCATTCCCCATTCAAGGATTGCTACCGACTGAGTAAAATCAAGAAGTTGAAAAAGAACGGCCAAGACCGAAAAAGAGCTGTAGAGACATAGAGAGATAGATTAAGGATATCCTAGGTTCTAATCATTTCCGACATACGGACTATCTCAGGTTTCGCGGTATTCCTCAGTCCTTCCAGGGAAATGCCAAGAACCTACGTTGATTAATCCGTCACTGAATCCTTCCAAAGATTTCCATTTCACAAGTCATTCTTTAATCCGACGCTCTGTAATCTCGAAACAGAGAGAATTGTACAAGAACCCACAGGCCCCATATTAAGTGGCGCCTTCGTTACCACAATGTTCTTCGTTCTCAAGAAGAAAGTTTTCAGACGTGGAGAATATTTATGAATATACGGAATAACCAGTCGCGGACGGCCGACAAGGGATTGCTTTTTAGCTTGTTTGATTAGCCGTGTGAATAACAAACATTCAAGCGAAAACTATGACATAAGAATTATATGGACTTTCAAATGTTAGAGGCGAAAAAATTTTACCTTAAAATTTCTCAAAATTTCTATCAGTGTTTTCTCATATTAACGACTAATGTTCGTGTGACTGTTTGACTGACGCTAGTTATTTCGATATTTGCTAAATGTAACAGATTGAGACTTGAATGTCTGAAATTTACTGATTTGAAACAGCTGTTACCGGTCCTATATAATAAGGATGCTTTTGTGTTAATTTTTCGTTTATTCTTAAATATTTGAATTGATTTCAATAGATATTTAAGAACAAACATGTTAATTCCTACTAATATAAATATACTTCGACCTCAACACAAATGTTTCTAATTTTATTGGAGTTCTGCCTGCTTGGATCTGCCCCCGTTTACTACAACCGAGTATGAATGCTTTGCTTAGCTGTAAGTTTTTAAATACTCATATTTGTGGATATGTTCTGTTGCTTGTGTAATGAAAAAAATTGTTCTTTTCTGTTTCAGGAGTGGAGGCAGACCCACGTGTGAGTTAAAATTTCAACACCTCATTGGCCGTTAGCAGCAACACTCACACCTCCTACACATTTTCTATCCGAGGAGACCTCCGACGGAGCATGACTCAAGGACAATTTCGCCTAATTCTCCTCGGATTTTCTAGAATCAACCTGCCTACTCCGTAATTGTGGCACGCCCTAGAAATGATGGGCTACTAACTGCGCTCTTCTCTCTCTGTTCAGCCCAGTTGCACGTGTCTCGCAATTGAAATTTACATATTCAATCATATTTGTGAGATAACTTCATGTCTCTATTTACGGGGGATCGATCGGCAAATATTATTATTATTACTATTTTCGTGAATTTATTATTCTAAACTCAAGGAGGATGCCATTACACCTCCCCGTCATATTGTTACTTGGAGCTGTTTGACAGTATTAACATGCTTGACCTAATCTTTACAAATATGACGGGATCTCATGTCTGTTCCTACCGACCCTGAATTGGTCATGCCCGATTCTCATCACATTCATCTGAGTACTGTTGTCTTTCAGTCCCATGTTAACAATAATTTCAATTACGAGTTCAGTTATCGAACTTCCGCAGCAGGCGTTTAGAATATTCTGTTTACGTATGGTTGCCCAGGAGTGCATGAAACGCTGCCGTCGGAGTAGCCGGAGGGGGGTGGGGTAGGAAATTTCTCGTGGTTATAGCTGCAAGTAAAATTTTCCTCCCTGGTTCTCCCTTACTTTAACTTGAGCCTGACCCAAATTGCTAAACGCGTGTTGTGTCATACAACAGGATTTGAAACTCTCAGTGTTAGGAGTATTAGTCTTGCCAAGCTATCATTACACGAAAGGTCAGTATTAAAGACCTTGGTGTTTTCTTTCATTCAAAGTTATATTTTCACAGTCATGTTGATTACATATTTTCTGAATTCATAAAGCTTTTATGTCTCATTTTCTCCGTTACCTACAGATCTTCCTCCCTGGAGTGTCTGTATGTACTATACTTGATTTTTTTAAATTTTTTATTTCGCTTAGTAAGGGGTGGAGTCTAACTGAGTCCACTCGGCACGGCGGCGACTGATTTGACTATTGTAGCTTTCCCCGGGTGATTATGATGATGTAGAAATTGGTGGAATGAAGTTTGTCAGGGGAATCCGAAGGACTCGGAAGAAACCCGCCACAGCGCTACTTTGTCCAACACATATCCCACTTGACCCGACCCCGGGATCGAAACAGGGCCGCCGTGGTGGAAACCAGCGACTAACAACTTCAGCTATGACACGGCCTTTGATTTTAGTTAGGTCCAATTTGGAATATGCCTCGGTAGTTTTGAACTCAGTCATATTCATTGATGCCAGTAAGCTTGAGCGCAACCAGCTGAAGTTTGTTTCCGTCTATTTTTACCGTTCATTCCCCTAATATCCCATATCCTTACACCATTGCCTTAGAATAATTAAGTCTACAATCTTTACCTAAACGGGGTCATCACATTGATGCATTCTATTCTTGCTCAGGTCTATCGTGGCCTTAACCATGTACTTCAATTTTTGGATATTATTATCCTTCTTATTCCTCCTAGCAATCACAGGGACTATATTGTGCCTCGATAGGGGTCAATGACTGTACTCACGTCCTCTCGGACGTCCGTGTATATCTTGTAACCTGTAGGGTGGAAAACGTGCTGGCAAAAGAGGATCCACAAAACTCGAGCACTTAAAACAATAAAGTAATATATAATAAAACAAAACACGGTTACATCAAACAGCCTGTCTACACACACAGACACACACACACAACATTCGATTACACCCCTTTTCTTCACTTTCTACATTTAACTACTGATAATAGTTAGTTATTGGAGAGGGTGGGTTTCCCCATGCACAAAGACCTGTAGTGGTCCATTGTGCTTCCCTCTATGATCTCTACGAGTCTCTATATCCTACCGGTACTGGTGCCTACCATCAGTCCCGCCCGGCCAGCGAGACCGGCTCTACTAGCTGAGAGGTATCTATAATGCTTCCTCCATCTACCAGAGGTATTAGAGACTGCTGTTGGGCGGGAAACGTTCGTAATTTGGCTCAGTGACCTCCTTTGGAGATATGAGGTTCTTTTACGTGGCGTAAAGCTACGACACGGGACCCACGGCTTAAAACTACTAATAATAACCTAACCCTAAATGGCATAAACCAACACTTTTTTTATTTATTTCTCAAAACACCCTTGAACCAGAATTTCTAACAATCTAACAATCAATCGGTGGCCCGACCACTCGTGCTGAACATAATGAAAATGAAGAAAAATGGCTCCAGCCCAACTCCTTCCCACAGGCACATATTGCTCTAATTCGTCTGCTCTGAGCAACTGATAGTAACAGAACGTCCCAAGCGGCTTTTTCCCCCGTTCCCAAAACTCAACTTTTTCTCGAGTCACGAAAAGCTGCTCTCGCAAAATCCCTAAATTCGGCAACATTTGGACGTTTCCTGTCGCACGATGCGAAACTTAACCGGATCTTTCCAGTGATGGGTAAACAATCTTTTCTAAATACAACGCGATCGACTGAAAAGGAATACGAGGCGTCAGCCGCGGTTCTGTCTCCTCGCCTTCCAGCCAACCGTCTGGCGCTTAATCTAAGTATCCAATCTTACAAGAACCATACTTAATATCTAATAAAATAGGCACAACAACTTCTCATTGCTTGGTGCTTGTCCCTCTAATAAACACTGACCTTCTGCTGGGTGCGCCTCTGCTGCCAACGCCGTAGGTAAACATCTCGATACATTTGCAATCGGACTGTCTCTCTCTCAATTACATTTACACCCATAAACGTAAAACTGTTAAAAATATTTGTTCAAAATCCCAATATTCAGTACTATGCAGTTCTAAATTATCATGTTCACGTTCCCTCTTTCCATCTTTGCTTATTTGTTTGTTTATTTTTTCTGTGTTAATGTGTTTTTCCTCGAGTGCTTGCATGTACTTTGTCTCTGAATTTATTGTCTCTCTGTCCATAACGAGATTACCTCTATTACCTGTGTTCTGTCTGTAAATGGCCCTATAGCTCCTGAATTGGCACATAAATAATAAGGAATTGATTTGGCCGAGCCATACCTTAAGCAATTAGTTGCTGGCTTCCCACCGCGGCGGCCCGTGTTCGATCCCCAAGTGTGGTCAAGTGGGATTTGTGTACGACAAAGTGGCGCTGGGTCGGGTTTTCTCCGAGTACTTCGGTTTCCCTTTGCAATCTTCATTCCACTAAATTCTCCATCATCATAATCATGGGGGGCAGGCTACAATAGGCCAATCAGTGGTCGCCCTACCGACTGAACCCCGTTGGACTCCACCGTACACTAAGCGAATTAAAGTAACTGATTTGATTTCATTCATCATCATCAATTTGTCGTTATCTGTTGCAGCCGAGACGCTACCCCCGCAGTGTAGACAGTGAGATACCCACAGACGGTCCTTAATTCGACTTGGCCGATGTGACAACAGAAGACGGCACAATCGCGCTTGTTTTGGTGCGCTACTGCAACACATCATTGATATGGAGACTTCTTCACACAGCCTGCACTATGAATGGAGCACTGATCTTCCAATTTCTCGCATTGTTATTTGCATTTAATATCACCGATAAAGAACTTCAGAGGAATTAGATTACAATTTATTTTACATAATTCTGTATTGACAATTCTAATGCCATTTGTAACATTCTTCAGTCTGTGAATAAATATGTGAACCTTGTTGACTGCTCTATAAATTTTACAGGAAAACTAATTGCACTATTTGTTATACCGAGAGTGAAGATATATCACTTTCTATGTTCCTAATCCGTTCGTTCCTGGTTTCGATCAAAAAAACTACTTTTAATGTTTCCGTATTAATTTATAAACTTACATTTTCCTGTTCTGAAGATGCTTAGAATTAAAAGTCAATAAATAGCAGGACAAGATTATCTTCACTGACAATTCCGCACACCAGAGATAAGGACGACTATAAAATTTCGAGAACCGATCATAGTGACCCTGCGAAATGCAACTCAACCGCTTGAACTCTGAGATCGTGGATTCGAATCCCGCTAGAAGCACTGAAGTATATCGACTTTTTCTCTGCATTTGTTTATCTTGTACGTAATCGAACCCGGGCTGACGCGGTGAAAAGCCAGGGACTAACCGCTTGAGCTATGGAGCGGCCAAACAAAGATATAAAGTAGGAAGATATAAATATATAGATAAACAATGGAAGGCAGAAAGAAAGAAAGAAGGAAAAGAAGCAATAGGAAGTAAGGAAAGCAGAATGCGATGTCCGAAGGACCTTGAAAATGTTGCTGAGTCACTTAGAATGCCGTGTCGCAATTCTCCTATCTTAGGAATAAGAAATTAGTCCACGTAAAGATACGAGTAGTGCTTTTGTTTGTGATAGAGCGGCCTCGTGATATTAAATTAGTTTCTGTTTCTTGTTTCTTGGTGTACGATGAGACTCAATCCACTAATTCGCAAATTGTACCAGCCCCGGGTGATAGATTATGAATGTGGATCAACAGTGGTATGAGAATTAGAAGTTGAAACCGAAGTACTTGCAGAAAAGACACCAAGTACCACTTTGTCCACAATAAATCCCACATGGCTTGTCCTGGGCTCGAAATGGTCCACCGCAGTGGGAAGCATGACCTGATATTAAAATAACTCAAGACTGAATAATGAGTCACAGCAGTCAAATGTTGACTGGTCGAGATTGTAGAACGTGTCAAGTCCTAGATACACGGACATTGCTGGAGTTCGGAATGAAAGTCGTTTGGTTCTTAGCATCCCTTGCGGTTAGCCGATCTCCCATCGAGGATTCCAGTGGAAGCTACTTTCCTAGGCAGAACTACGAACGCCACCGCCGATGACGTAAGAACCCAGAAATACTTTGCTTCAGTTCAGTTATCGTATAAGGTACCTGCAGGCTCCGTTTACTTGGGATGTTCTCCCGTGGGTAAATTGTTCCGGGACATGAATATGACCACTCAATCCTTATATAGCACCAAGGTTAGGAGCGCGCGACTGTACAACTCCATTCCTCAACCGTCGTCATGACGTGAAGCTTAATTAGCGCAGGGACAACCTTAGTTCATTCTATTTATGCCTCTACAGCCCTTTGATGGACCTTGGCCGCTGTTTCAGTATCGTGATCTCATTATACAGATGGTAGGACTCCTTGGACGAGGGATCAGCCGGTCGCAAGGGCGTTACCTACACACAGGACGACGCAAACTCAGAATAAACTCACACAGACATCCATGATTCAAGTGGGATTCAAACTCAATACCCCATTGTTTGATCGGACGAAGACAGATCATGATTTAGACCTCGTGGTAAATGTGTTTGGCCAACACTGGTTCTACTACTACTTAAAGAATATTTGCACTATTTAGATACCAAAACAGCTCACAGGCAAGAATGAAGCATACATGTATTTGTGGTATCACGTTGTGGGAATATACAGTTTGTAAACAGTGGAACGTAACCCCACAAATATTAGAAACATAACTTCTGGCGTAGTGAAAACCTAATTTTTTGGCAATAAATATTATTTGATAAAATAGTGATTCAATAGTGCACGTATGATTTTCTATCAAGAGCCAGTCATCCGAAGAACTGTTCACCGAGCACTTAAAATTTCCCAGATATACGGTTACTGGGCGGTCACTGAAGCCCAGCTGTCTAAGGCATGTACTATTTTCGCTAGCTCGGAGGCCAGGATCGTGGGTTGGAATCCCATACAATGCATAGATTTTTCATATGTGTATATCTTTATTCTGTGTTTGTGTTCTCCTGTGTTTAGGTAGAGGCATTGAGACGAGTTGATCACTCGTCAAAAGAGTCCTAGCGTCTGTATAATGTTCATGAAACAGAAATATCAGAAGCCACGGCCGCAAGGGGCTGTAGAGTCAGCGAAAGAAAAAATAGTTACTGAATAATAGGCTTTTTTTGATGAATCTGCCACTGGTAAAATTTCTTAAGTGGTAATTCTGATGAATGTGGTTGGAAGAACAATCTACATGGCAGTGGGTCCGAATAGAGAACAAAACATCACACAAGGTTTCCTGACAAATATTTTGAAAACTGGGCAAGAATAAATTAAGGCCACTTAGAAATGGCAGTAAAAAAGTATACACTACAAAAGGCAAACCAAATAACATTTGCACACAAGATCAAATTATAAGCAAGCGAGAAAATGAGTTGCACACGCATATAAACGGCAAGTAAATTATTCCTCTATAGGACATTTTAATATTTAAGAATTAAGTATTTTAAAATTTCAGAAAATTAAGATTGTATGTCTATATGGGACAGCGCCTTTGACTGTTGTCATGCTAATATCGATTAAGTGAACAATAAGAAAAACATATATCCACAAGTGCCTTTGTCGATTAAATCGTTCATCCTTCTGTAACGAGTAGGTCATTTTCTGTGTCTACACGCAGTTTCCTTTTGTGATATAGTGCAGTATGTACGCAGACGGGAAATATAAATAAAATATTTATTGTTTCCGTCAACGCAATATTTCTTTAAGGGGTATAAAAATGATTGTTTACATTGAAGTCATAAGGCACGATATGTTTCGACATTTATTGGGTCATCATTTAGTGTCGTTTTGAGGTTTTCACGGCCGCGACTATGAGGAGAGCAGTCTTCTGGGAGGTGGCGCCGTGTAGATATCGTGTTATCCGACGTTTCGAGAATACGTATTGCCTGAAGATGGAGGCGATACCTCCTTCCTAAACTTCGGTAACGCAATATCTACACGCCACCACATTCCAGAAGACCGGTCTCTACATCATCTGGTGTCGTTTATTATTAAGTTGCTGAATTTGTACAGAATATGGATCCATATTTTGTGTCAACTGTGTTTTATATAATATCAATAAATGTAAATATAAATATTGTCAGGTACAATGGTTTTCCGTGACTAATAATAATGGTTCCTGGATTCGGTGATTGGATTTATTGGCACTTCTGTTACAATTAAAAACAAATTTAAACAGCTCATAATCAATGACTATCTAAAACTCGCTCCATTCTTACCGGACTTCGAATGTCTTCTGTTTCACTGTGACGAATGACGAACGAAGGATCCTTGCTGACGAATGACGATCCCTGAATGACGAACGAAGGAATGCTGCTCACCCATTGAACTGCCACTCGAATCCGAAAGACTGAACTCTCCTGAGATTAACTAACTTATAGGCGAACTGAATATATGTCACCCTGTCATACAGTTCTCTGTTATTCTCTTTTTCTGTGTTTAAACTTTTCCATGGGAAAGTGCTTACCGAACCGTTGTCTAACAAGAGACTATTCCGGCTTTCAGGCGTCATGTAAAAATGGACTTGTAAATAATTCATAGCAAAGTGATTCGGATAAAAATATGTGAATTCATACCAAATTTTGAGAGAATTCTACAAAACGTCAGTGATAACATTGTAATATTTAGAAAGTTGGCACTAGAAGGAACATTGAGTCCCATTTACTTACGCTTACGGAAAGATTTACACTTATAAATTCTTCTCCTTTAGTCACATGTATCAATTAAAAACCGACAAATTTTCACGAAGCCGTCAAGGCTAACCAATACTGGGATGTTAACCAACCTATTGTGGGGAAAAAGCCACATTTTTGTTATTTTCAACTACGATATGTGTTTCTAGTTATATTGTATCGGTAATATTGTTCGAAATTATCAACCATGTGACACAAATAAAATGTAATATACTTTCTAAGTCGCCTATATAAGACAGGGCACCAGTACTACTGACTATACACGTACTTACCTGGCAGAATAAGTCTATTCTAGAAACATGGGACGTCGAATCTTGCTTGTCTTCGTGGTGGTGGCAACCATTTTGCTGTCAATGGGTGAGTACAAACAAGTAACGCACAATCTCGTAGCGCGTGGGTTAATTTCAAGAACGGAAATCAAAAAGCAATGTTAATAACTCCTTCCCCTTTAAACCACTCTACTGGACGTATACCCAAACTTGTATATCATAGGTCTGGGTTCCCAGAGAACGGTATCCCTTAAGGTTAAGCTACAAACACTGGTTAGCTTAAGATCTCAACATACTAGAATGTGAAGCCTTGTAAATTTGTAGACAGGTATCAAAATTATAAAAGAATGCCTTGCCTTTATCTCCAAAGTAGATGAATCTCTTTCCTTCCCCCCTTCTACCCTGTAGAACGAGGAGGCATGCTCCTTTCAAGTGTTGGAACCTCTCTAAGAAACTACACGGCTTCGTATTCAAAAGACAGAGACCCTCACGATCACGTCTGTGAGAACATAAAATTTCACACCACAGTAACAGAAACTAAATATTCAACGCCGCTATTACCAAAGTCCCCCACTCGAAGTCATAATAAGCCAGTAGCATCCACTTCAGATCCTCCTGAGTTGTATAGCTCATATCCAACAAATTGCGATCCTTGCATGTCTTCGCAGTTTTCTAATTGGGCTTTTCCGGTTTTTCCTACTACACTACATATTTTATTGCTGGTGTGGTGGATCTAAGCCCTTGTACTGCGGCCACTTCTGGCCTGTTTTACCAGCCTTAGATGAGGGGTGAGTGTGATTGTGGAACATTTGGTGAAATGAAGATTGGCAGGGGAAACCGAAGTACTAGGAGAAAACCTGCACCAGCGCCACTTTGTCCACAACAAATCCCACTTGACGAGACCCGGGATTGAATCGGGCCGGCGCGGTGGGAAGCCAGGGACTGACCGGTTGAGCTATGGCGCGGCCCAAGTACTACCCTAATTGGGATCAAACGGATGGGTCTAGCAGGAACGTTTTGACTTATATACAGGAGTTTTCGCCGGTCACAGGGGTCGCATGAAATGTCTTCGCACACTCAAACACATAGATCGCGGGTTCGAATCTCACTTATGTCATGGGCGTCTGTTTGCATTTAATCTGTGTTTGTGCTATCCTGTTTGTTCACGTTGCGGCCTCGCGAAGGACTGATCCTCCATTCAAGGGGTTCTACCGACTGAGTAAAAATCAAGTAATTGAAAAAACATCCGAAAAAGAGTTGTACAGACATAGATAGATAGATTTAGGATAACCTAGGTTCTAATCATTTCCGGCAAACGGACTATGCGAGGTTTCGCGGTATTCCTCAGTCCTTCCAGGAAAATGCCAGGAACCTCCCTTAATTAGACCACCACTGAATCCTTCCAAAGATTTCCAGTTCACCAGTCACTCCTTTAATCCGACGCTCTATAATCTCGATACAGAGAGAATTGTAGGAGGACCCACAGGACCCACATTAAGTGGCGCCTTCGTTACCACAGTGCTCTGCGTTCTCGAGAAGAAAGTCGTCAGGCGTGGAGAATATTTATGAATATACTGAATAGGCAGTCGCGGGCGGCCGACAAGGGATTGCCTTTTAGCCTTTGAAGTTGGCAGTAAGATTAACAAGCATTAAGCGTAAACAAAGACTTCAGAATGATATGGCATTTCAAATGTTAGACGCGAAAAATATTACCTTAAAATTTCTCAAAATTTCTATCAGTGTTTTCTCATATTAACGACTAATGTTCGTGTGACTGTTTGACTGACGCTAGTTATTTCGATATTTGCTAAATGTAACAGATTGAGACTTGAATGTCTGAAATTTACTGATTTGAAACAGCTGTTACCGGTCCTATATAATAAGGATGCTTTTGTGTTAATTTTTCGTTTATTCTTAAATATTTGAATTGATTTCAATAGATATTAAAGGACAAATACGTTAATTACTACTAATATAAATACACTTCGACCTCAGCACAAATATTTCTAATTTTATTGGATTTCTGCCTGCACGGTTCTGCCCCCGTTTACTAAACCGCGTATGAATGCTCTGCTTAGCTGTAATTTTTTTAATACTCATATTTGTGTATATGTTCTGTTGCTGGTGTAATGAAAGAAGAATATTCTTTTCTGTTTCAGGAGTGGAGGCAGCCCGACCTGTGAGTTAAAATTTTAAGGCCTTGCAGCAACAGTCACGCTCCCTATACCTTTTCTATCAGAGGAAACCCCCGACGGAGCGTGACTCAAGAACACTGTTGCTTAATCTCCCCGGAATTTGTTCACTCAACCGGCCTACTCCATATTTGTGGCACGCCCTAGAAATGATAGGCTATCAACTGCGCACTTCGCTCTCTGTTCGGCCCAGTTGCACGTGTCTCGCAATTGAAATTTACATATCCAATCATATTTGTGAAACAACTTCATGTCTCTATATATGAGGAATCGATCGGCAAATATTATTATTATTATTATTATTACTACTACTATTTTCGTGAATTTATTATTCTAAACTCAAGGAGGATGCTATATGCACCTCCCCGTCATCTTGTTACGTTGGAGCTGTTTACAGTATTAACATGTTTGACCTAATCTTTACAAATATGACGGGATCCCATGTCTGTTCCTACCGACCCTTGATTGGTCACGCCCGATTCACATCACATTCATTTGAGTACTGTTGTCTTTCTATCCCTTGTTAACAATAATTTCAATTGCGAGCTCAGGTATTGAATTTTCGCAGCAGGCAACTACACGTTACTTTAGAATCTTCTATCTACGTATGGTTGTCCAAAAGTGCTTGACAGGTTGCCGTCGAATTTGCCAGTGTGCAGGCAATTCCTCGAGGTTATAGATGGAAGTAAATTTTCCTCCCTGGTTCTCCCTTAACTTATGGCACCACATCTTTATGAAAAACTACGTATTCCCACTGTCGTTTTAAAAACTATCCTCCAAATTAATTTTACGACAGATTACCGTTTTATCGAACACTCATTATAATCATAAGTCTGACAGGCGTACACGGTAGAATTCAATTGAGAATAATTCAGGTTCACAGCCCCAACATGTCTGGAAATAAGTATTTACTCGTAATTTCAGAAAATATAGAAATGTTTCCAATCAGCTATAGCAAATGTAATACGGCCTAATTCATTTGCTGATGCTTTCGTTAAGCACTTTCAGTCTGTTTACAATAACCGCTGCTCTATGGAATTTCTCCCCCTCTCGCAGTCTGCTGAATTTTTATTCCCTGTCCCCATTTCCGGTGCGGGTGTCTGCAATGCCATTAAGAGAGGAAAACCTCCAAAATACGTATATTGAACTTGAAGATATCCCTGTTTTATCACAAAAGTTTGTTCGTGTATTATTATTCCCATTCTTAGGCATATATACGTATTTAACTTGAGACTCACCCAGTAACATTTCCCTGCTGTAAGGAAAAAGCTGTTTTTTATCCCCATTTAAACAGGTAATCATGTGCCTGTGAGCTGCAGGAGATCGAATTCTCTTCTCAGTAATTTCTCTTAGTTGTCTGAATTCATTATTCGTGATCACATTTTCCATTACGCTAATTTTAATTCAAATCAAAATGGCTTCACCAGAACTAAATCTCCAATTACCCCTTTGGTGGCATTTCGTGGTTCTTTGATTTCTGTTGTCCGCGTTCATGGTGTAGCCGATGCTGTCTATTTTATCTTTCAAATGCTTTTGACCTCGTCCCTCATAATATGATCTTGCATAAATTAACCTCCTTCGAATACTCTGGTACTTGTGTTCGCCTGTTTCACAGTCACTTAACCAACAGACAATTTCGGGTGCACGTTTCCGGCACTCTCTCCCTGCCTTTTCAAGTAAGGTCGGTTGTGCCACAGGGCTCTGCTCTGGGGCCCTTTCTTTTCAACACATTTATTAATGATCTGTGCAACTCTATCAAATATTATAAACTTCTAATTCTTTCCGATGATGTCAAAACTTTCCGCGTCATTAACTCTTCACATTATTGTTTCTTACTCCAATCTGAACTTAATTCCGTCAGTGACTGGTGCAATGCCAACTCCATGAGAATTAATATTTCTAAAACGCGGGCTGTGTCATTTACGAGGAAAAATAAATTTCTGTGTTAGCTTTGATATGTTACCGTTACACGCACCGGGAGTATAAAGGACCTAGATGTTTTCTTTCATTCAAAGTTTCATTTTCACAATCATGTTGATTACGTTTTTTCCAAATGCATAATGCTCAATAGTAGAGTGAATTCACCGACTACACAACACGTTTTATATTATCACTACATGTTGCGACCTCAAGAGGACATCCTCAGGTGTATGAACACGGCAGTATAATTAAACAGCATAGTGCTGTTAGGTCTCATTCCCTCTAAAGTCTACAGATCTTTCTCCATGGAGTGTTTGTATGTATTATACTTTACTTTAGTCAAGTCTAAGTTGGAATATGCCTCAGTAGATCTGAACACATTCACGTCCACTGATGCCAGTAAGCTTGAGCGCACCAAGCAGAAGTTTGTTCCGTCAATTTTACCTTTCTTTCCCTTAATATCCCATATCCTTACACCATTGCCTTAGAGGAATTAAGTCTACAATCTTTACCTAAACTGAGTCATCACATTGCTCAGGTCTATTGTGGCCTTGAAACCTGCTCTTCCATTTTGGAAATTGTTAGACTTCTTATTCCTCCGGGAAATCACAGGGACTTCTCATTGCTTGGTGTTTGTCCTTCTAATAAACACCGTCCTTCTGTTAGGTGCGCCTCTGCTGCCAACGCGGGGGGTAAATATCTCGACATATTTGCAATCGGACCGTCTCTCTCTATCACATTTATACTCATCAACCTAAAAGTGTTAATAGAATTTGATCACAATTCTAATATTCAGTGTTATGCAGTTCTCAGTTATTATGTTCTTCTTACCACTCTGCATCTTTGTTTGCTTGTTTGTTTACTTTTCTGTATTAATGTACTTTTTCCTTCAGTTCTTTTCCGTAAATTGTCTTTGTTAATGTGGCTACCTGTATCCTCTCTGTGCTGTGTCTGAAGTTGGCCTTGTAGCTGTTGACTCAGGACATAAATAACAAAGAACTGAATCATCATCATCATCATTTTGTCATCATCTGTTTCAGGATCATGCCAAGTTTATCCACATATTGAAGTCACTTGGTCGTTAGACAACCACGACATTCACACCCAAAGTCGCTCCCTAAATCGACTTGGCCGATGTGACAACAGAAGACGGCACAATCGCGCTGGTTTTTGTGCGCTACTGCAACACATCAATGATATGAAGACATCTTCACACAGCCTGCACTATGAATGGAGCACTGATCTTCCAATTTCTCACATTGTTATGTGCATTTAATATCACTGATAAAGAACTTCACAGGAATTATATTACAATTTATTTTACATAATTCTGTATTGACAATTCTAATGCCATTTGTAACATTCTTCAGTCTGTGAATAAATATGTAAACCTTGATGACAGCTCTATAAATTTTACCCGAAAGCTAATTATACTATTTGTTATACCGAGGGCCCAGACGTATCTCTTTATATGTTGCTAATCCATTCGGTCCTGGGTTCGATTCCCTAAGATTTCTTTTGATATTTCCGTATTAATTTATACACTTACAATTTCCTGTGCTCAGATGCTTAGACTTAAAGAGTCAATAAATGGCAGGATAATATTATCTTCACTGATAATTCCACACACCAGAGATAAAATCGTATATAAAATTTCGAGAACCGATCTCAGTGACCGTGAGAAATATGGTAGGAAATGCGCCTCACCCGGCCGAACATTGAGATTGTGGATTCGAATCCCACTAGAAGCATTTAAGCATATCTACAATTTTCTCTGTATTTGTTTCTCGTGTACGTAGCCGCCTTGTGAGAGCTGATGCTCCCTCCAAAGTTTCCTAACATCTGCATGTAAGATTAAGCGTGTTCAGATAATTCTGTAATATTAACAGGGAAGAGGGTTGATCCACCAAGAGAAGAAGAAGAAGAAGAAGAAGAAGAAGAAGAAGAAGACAAAGAAGAAGAAGAAGAAGAAGAAGAAAGAGGAGAAGCAATGTTTCTCGTTCGTGTATGGAAAACCTTAGCACAGTAATCAACAGATTTTAGCGATCCGGTGATCGCTGACAGTAGTTTGCTTCTCATATACTGGGATGAACGATCGTGAGTCAGCGGTTTTTGCTGTTTGGTCTTTTGTTGTGTAATTGTATAGATGTTTAAATTGACTCAAACCTTCCCAGGTAGAAAATTTTCTGCTTCGTCAAGCTGGACCTCTGAGAGTACTGCGACATCTATGTTTTGGCTCCTCTGTTGGACTCACAGGATCTTGTCTCTCAGACTTCTAGCGTTCCATGAACAATCTGAATTGGTTGACTCCCGTTGTATTTTGTTATAATGTTGCTCTTGAAGCTCGAAGGCTGTCCGCAAGTTTCTGACCATTGCTGTAACGTCCCCGGAGTTTATCACCAATTTGATTAATGTCACCATTCAGTCTTGTCTTCGTCCTCCATTTGAATGGACTCAAAGATTTCTCTAACACTCTCTGGATTTTGAACTATTCTTCTCCCAATCTTGGGGCTTGGTTCAGATATTTCTTTTATTGCTAGTGGGGTGGGACTAAGTCCCTTGTACTCCTGCCACTTCTGGCCTATTGTCCCAGCCCCAGTAGATGCTTGGATATAATATGCCTCAGCGCCACTTTTTCCAACACAAATCCCATTTGACACGACCCGGAATCGAACCCGGGCCGACGAGGTGGGAAGCCGTGGACTAAACGCTTGAGCTATGGCGCGGCCAAACAAAGATATAAAATAGGAAGAAATAAATACGTAGATAAACAATGGAAGGCAGAAAGAAAGAAAAAAGGAAAAGAAGCAATAGGAAGGAAAGAAAGCAGAATGCGATGTCCGAAGAACCTTGAAAATGTTGTTGAGTCACTTAGAATACCGTGTCGCAATTCTCGTATCTTATGAATAAGAAATTAGGCACGTAAAGATACGAGTAGTGCTTTTGTTTGTGATAGAGCGGCCTCGTGATATTAAATTATTTTCTGCTTTTTAGTTTCTTGGTGTGGGGTGAGACTGAATCCACTCGGTACGTCGTCCACTAATTCGATAAGTGTACCAGCACCGGATGATAGATTATGAATGTGGATCAAGAGTGGCATGAAAATTAGCAGGGGAAACTGAACTACATGCAGAAAAGCCGCCCAGTACCACTTTCTCCACAATAATTCCCACATGGCTTCACCCGGGCTCGAACCGGGGGACCGCAGTGGGAAGCATGGCCTAATATTAAAATAACTCAAGACTGAATAATGAGTCACAGCAGTCAAATGTTGACTGGTCGAGATTGTAGAACGTGTCAAGTCCTAGATACACGGACATTGCTGGAGTTCGGAATGAAAGTCGTTTGGTTCTTAGCATCCCTTGCGGTTAGCCGATCTCCCATCGAGGATTCCAGTGGAAGCTACTTTCCTAGGCAGAACTACGAACGCCACCGCCGATGACGTAAGAACCCAGAAATACTTTGCTTCAGTTCAGTTATCGTATAAGGTACCTGCAGGCTCCGTTTACTTGGGATGTTCTCCCGTGGGTAAATTGTTCCGGGACATGAATATGACCACTCATTCCCCATATAGCGACAAGGTTAAAAGCGGGCGACTGTACAACTCCATTCCTCATCCGTCGTCATGACGTGAAGCTTAATTAGCGCAGGGACAACCTTAGTTCGATCTATTTATGCCTCTACAGCCCTTTGTTGGACCTTGGCCGCTGTTTCAGTATCGTGATCTCATTACACAGATGGTAGGACTCCTTGGATGAGGGATCAGCCCTTCACAAGGGCGTTACCTACACACAGGACGAGGCAAACTCGGAATAAATTCACACAAACATCCATGCTTCAAGTGAGATTTGAACTCACGATCCCGTTGTTTGTGCGAACGAAGACAGTTAATTCCTTAGACCGCGTGGAGAATGTGTTTGGCCAACATTGATTCTACTACCAATTAAAGAATACTTGTGCTCTTTAGATAGCAAAATTTCTTATAAGCAGGAATGAAGCATATTTGCTGAATCACCTTGTGGGAATCTACAGTTTGCAAACAGTGGAACGTAACCCCACAGATATGAGAACCTTGACTTCTGGTGGAGTGAAAACATAAGTCTTTTGGGCAGCAAATATTATTTGATACAATTGTGATACAATAGTGTATGTATGATTTTCTCTGAAGAGGCAGTTATCCGATGAATTGTTCACCCAGCACATAAAATAACTGAGATAAACCATTACTGGCCGGTCACTGTAACCCAGCAGTCTAATGCATGTACTGTTTTACCTAGCTCGAAGGCCGCGATCGTGGGTTCGAATCCCATAAAAGTATATTTCTTTGGTATGTGTTTATGTATGTATGTATGTTTGTATGTTTATTCTGTGTTTGTGTTGTCCTGTGTTTAGGTAGAGGCATTGAGACGAGTTGACCACTCGTCGAAAGAGTTCTACCGACTATAAAATGATCATGAGACTGAAATATCAGAAGCCAGGCCCAAGGGGGCTGCAGAGTCAGCGAAAGGTAAAAACAATTACAGAATAAGAGGCTTTGTGTGAAGAATCTGCCCGCTGGTAAAATTTCTTAAGTGGTAATTCTGATGAATGTGCTTGGAAGAACAATCTACATGCCAGTGGGTCCGAACACAGATCAAAATATCACACAAGGATTCCTGAAAAATATTTTGAGAACTGGGCAAAAACAAATTAAGATCACTTCGAAATGTCAGTAAAGAAGTATAAACTACAAAAGGCAAAACAAATAACATTTGCACACAAGATCAAATTATAAGCAAGCGAGAAAATAAGTTGCACACGCATATAAACGGCAAGTAAATTATTCCTCTATAGGACATTTTAATATTTAAGAATTAAACATATTAAAAATTCAGAAACATAAAATTGTATGCCGTTATGGGACAGCGCCTTTGACTGTTGTCATGCTAATATCGATTACATCAACAATAAGAAAAACATATATCCAGAAGAGCCAGTGTCGATTAAATCGTTCCTCCTTCTCTAACGAGTACGTCACTTTCTGTGTCTATACGCAGTTTCCTTTTGTGATATAGTCCAGTATGTACGCATTACGGGAAATATACATAAATTATTTATTGCTTCCGTTAACACAGCAGTTCTTATGAGGTATACGATTACAAATTATTGTTTACATTAAAGTCATAAGGCACGATGTGTCTCGACATTTATTGAGTTATCATCTGGTGTCGTTTTGAGCTTTTCACGGAGGTGACTCTGAGGAGAACAGTCTTCTGGGATGTGGCGCCGTGTAGATATCGTGTTAACCGACGTTTCGAGGGAACGTATTGCCTGAAGATGGAGGCGATACTTCCTTTCTAAACTTCGGTAACGCAATATCTACACGCCACCACATCCCAGAAGAACGGTCTCTGCATCATCTGGTGTCGTTTATTATTAAGTTGCTGAAATTTGCAGAATATGAATCCATATTTTGTGTCAACTGTGTTTTATATAATATCAATAAATGTAAATAAAATATTGTCAGGTACAATGGCTTTGCGTGAGTAATAATAACGGTTCCTGGATTCGATGATTGGATATATTGGCATTTCTGTTACAATTGAAACAAATTTAAACAGCTCACAGTCAATGACTGCTTAAGACTCGCTCCTTTCCTTACAGGACTACGAGTGTCTTCTGTTTCACTGTGAAGAATGACGAACGAAGGAACCCTGCTCACCCATTGAACTCTCATACGAATCCGAAAAACTGAACCCTCCTGAGATGAACCAACTTCCAGGCGAACCGAATATATGTCACCATGTCGTACTGTTCCTCTGTTATTCTATTTTTCTGTGTTTAAACTTTTGCATGGGAAAGTGCTTACCGAACCGTTGTCTAGCAATGGACTATTCCGGCTTTCAGATGTCATGTGAAAATATACGTATAAAAATTCATAGCAAAGTGATCCGGATAAGAATATGTCAATTCATACCAAATTTCGAGAGAATTCTATAAAACTTCAGTGATAACATTGTTGTGGTTAGAAAGTTGGCACTAGAAGGAAGATTGTGTCCCATTTACTTATGCTTTCGGAAAGTTTTACAATAACACTTTTAAATTCTTCGCCTTTAGTCACACGAATCAATTAGAAACTGAAAAACTTTCACGAAACTTTGAAAACTAACCGATACTTGGATGTTAACTTATCTATTGTGGAAAAAAGACACAATTTCATAATTTTCAACTACGATATGTGGTTCTGGTTATCTTGTAGCAGTATTACTTTCGAAATTATCAAGCATGTGACACAAATAAAAGGGTAATATACTTTGTATATTGCCTATAAAAGACAGGGCACCAGTACTACTGACTATACACGTACTTACCTGGCAGAATAAGTCTATTCTAGAAACATGGGACGTCGAATCTTGCTTGTCTTCGTGGTGGTGGCAACCATTCTGCTGTCAATGGGTGAGTACAAACAAGCAACGCACAATCTCGTAGCCCCTGTGTTAATTTCACGAACGGAAATCTAAAAGCAATGTTAATATCTCTTTTCCCTTAAATCCACTCTACTGGGGATCTTACGTATGTCCCCTAACTTGGTAGCAAATGTTAAAAGGAGAAGGGTGTGGTGTCTGTGAGCATTCAATTGCAATTAATGAAATAAGAGCCCCGAAGAAAATTTGTTATAGCACGCCAGAATGCAGAAAATAGGAAAGGTCCAGATTGTTGTAATTGAAGATGAAGAGCATGATTTAAAAGAGCTAGAAATGAAACAATTGAGACAAAGTAAATAATAATAGAGAAGATTTGGTATATATCAAAGGCATCCCCTAAGGTTAAGCTACAAACACTGTGTTAGTTTAGGATTACAGCCTTCTGCAATGTGACGCGGTGTAAACTGGTAAATAGGTATCAGAATTACAGACGAATGCCTTGCCTTTATCTCCAAGGTAGATGAGTCTCTTTCCTTCCTCTTTTCCACCCTGAAGAAGGTGGCAGGATGCTCCTCCAAAACGTTGGAACCTCTCTAAGAAACTACACGGTGTCGCATTCAATAGGACAGAAACATTCACGGTCACGTCTGTACGAACATAAAATTTCACATCGCAGTAAGAGAAAACAAATATTCAACGCCACTATTACCGAAGTCCCCCATTCGATGCCATGATAAGCCAATAGCATCCACTTCAGATCCTCCCAAATTATATAGCTCAGATCCAACTAATTGTTATCCTCTCATGACCTTCGCAGTTTTCTAATTGGGCGTTTTCCGGTTTTCAGTACTACACGAAGTGGGACCGAACAGATTGGTCTAGCAGGAACGTTTGGACTTATATACAGGAGGTTTCGCCGGTCACAGTGGCCGCGCGGTTTGAGGTATGGTGTGTCTTCGCCCACTCAAACACATGCATCGTGGTTTCGAAAACCATTCATGTCATGGGTGTCTGTGTTTATTTCATCTGTGTTTGTACTATCCTGTTTGTTCAATTTGCTCCCTCGCGACGGAATGATCCCCAATTCAAAGAGTGCTACCGACTGAGTAAAAATCAAGATATTGATAAAACGGCCAAAGTCCGAAAAAGATTTGTAGAGCCATAGATAGATAGATTCAGGATATCTTAGGTTCTAATCACTGCGGCAAACGGACAATCTGAGGTTTCGCGGTATTCCTCAGTCCTTCCAGGAAAATGCCAGGAACCTCCCTTAATTAGACCACCACTGAATCCTTCCAAAGATTTCCAGTTCACCAGTCACTCCTTTAATCCGACGCTCTATAATCTCGATACAGAGAGAATTGTAGGAGGACCCACAGGACCCACATTAAGTGGCGCCTTCGTTACCACAGTGCTCTGCGTTCTCGAGAAGAAAGTCTTCAGACGTGGGGAATATTTATGAATATACTGAATAGGCAGTCACGGACCTACAACAAGGGATTGTTTTTAAGCTTGTGAGATAGGCCGTATGATTAACAAGCATTCAAGCGTAACCTGAGACTTCACAATTATATGGACTTTCAAATGTTAGATGAGAAAAAAATTTACCTTAAATTTTCTCAAAATTTCTATCAGTGTTTTCTTATATTAACGACTAATGGTCGTGTAACTGTTAGACTGGCGCTAGTTATTTCGATATCTGCTACATGTAATACAATGAAACTTGATTTTCTGAAATTTACTGATTTGTAACAGCTGTTACCGGTCCTATATAATAAGGATGGTTTTGTGTTAATTTTAAGTTTTTTTATAAATATTTGAATTGATTTCAATAGATTTTTAAGAACAAATATGTTAGTTTCTACTAATATAAATACACTTCGACCTCAACACAAATATTTCTAATTTTATGGCAGTTATGCCTGCACGGATCTGCCTCCGTTTTCTACAACCGAGTAGGAATGCTCTGCTTAGCTGTAAATTTTTTAAATACTCATATTTGTGTATATCTTCTGGTGCTGATGTAATGAAAGAAGAATTTTCTTTTCTGTTTCAGGAGTGGAGGCAGACCCACACGTGAGTTAACATTTTAAGGCCTCTTTGGCATTTAGCAGCAGCAGAAACACTTCCTACACCTTCTCTATCCGATGAAGCCTCCGACGGAGCTTGACTTAAGGGCACTCTTACTTAAGTCTCCCCGATTTTTGTACAGTGAACCGGCCTGCACCGTAATTGTGACATGCCCAAGATAATATGGGCTCTTAACTGCGCACTTCTCTCTCTGTTCCGTCTAGTTGCACGTGTCTCGCAAAAAAAAAATTTACACATTCAATCATATTTGTGAAACAACTTCATGTCTCTATCTACGGGGATCGATCGGCAATTATTATTAATGGTTTCGTGAATCTATTATTCTAAACTCAAGGGGGATGCTATATACACCTTCCCGTCATCTTGTTACGATGTTTGACCTAATCTTTATAAATATGACGGGATCTCATGTCTGTTCCTACCGACCCTGGATTGGTCACGCCCGATTCACATCACATTCATTTGAGTTCTGTTGTCTTTCTATCCCATGTTAACAATAATTTCCATTGCGAGTTCAGGTATGGAATTTTCGCAGCAGGCAACTTCATGTTACTTTAGAATATTCTATCTGCGTATGGTAGTCCAAAAGTGCATGAAAGGCTGCCATCGGAGTTGCCAGGGGCAGGAAATTTTTCGTCGTTATAGCTGCAAGTAAAGTTTTCCTCCCTGGTTCTCCCTTACTTTCACTTGAGCGTGACCTAACAGTATTCCCTGCTTCATGGAGAAAACCTATGTACCAATATTTAAGAGACACAATCATTCGGCTATGAGAAAACGACAGAACCACTCCTCTTCTCAAAAGTTTATCTATGTTGCCTGAATGCATTATTCATGCTCATGATTTGAATTGCGCTAAATTTTATCGCAATCAATTTGACTTTACAATAACTAATCTACAATTATCAATCTGGTAAATTTTCTTGACACTTTGACTCCTGTTGTCCGCGTTCAGACTCAAGATGATGCTGTCTATTTTGATCTTTCAAATGATTTTGACCATGTCCCAGACAATATGTTCTTCCATAAATATTGCTCCTTCGGATTCTCTGATGTTTATATTAGCTGGTTTCGCAGTCACTTGACCAACAGAAAATTTCTCTTCCTACATTCTGAAGTATTGTCTGGTGTGTCACAAGGCACAGTTCTGGGTCATTCTCTTCTAAGTGTATTCATTAATGATCTACAACTCTATTAACTAGAGTAAAATTTTCATTTTTGCGGATTATCTAAAAAATTTCCTGCGTCATTATCCCGCCACATGATTGCTTCTTACTCCTACCTGACATACCTTGTGTACTGCCAACTCCATGAGACTCAAAATTGCTAAACGCGTGTTGTGTGATACAACAGGAAGTGAAACTCTCAATGTTAGGAGTATCAGCCTTGCCAAGCTATGATTACACGAACCGAGTGTATTAAAGATCATGGTGTTTCCTTTCATTCAAAGTTACTTTTTCACAGTCATGTTTTTTACGTATTTTCTGAATGCATAAAGCTTTTAGGTCTTATTTGTTCCGTTACCTACAGATCTTCCTCCCTGGAGTGTTTGTATGTACTATAATTGATTTCTGTTAATTTTTTTAATTCGCTTAGTGGGGGGTGGAGTCCAACTGGGTCCACTCGGCACGGCGACTACTGATTGGCCTATTGTAGCCTGTCCCGGGTGGTTATGATGATGGAGAATTTTTGTGGAATGAAGTTTGGGAGGGAAAAACCGAGGTACTAAGAGAAAACCCTCCCCCGCGCCATTTTGTCCACCACAAATCCCACTTGAACAGACTCGGGCTCGAACCCGGGCAGCCGCGGTGGGAAGTCAGCCACTAACCGCTTCAGCTATGGCGCGGCCTTTGATTTTAGTTAGGTCCAATTTGGACTATGCCTTCGTAGTTTTGAAATCAGTCACGTTCACTGATGCCAGTAAGCTCGAAAGCATACTGCAGAATGTAAGATTTGAGGCTTTCACGGCGGTGACTATGAAGAAAGCAGTCTTCTGGGATTTGGCACCGTGTATATACGAGTACACATATACACGGTGCCAAATCCCAGAAGACTGCTTTCTTCATACACCAGAAGTTTGGTTCCGTCTATTTTTACAGTTCTTTAACTTCATATCCCATATATTAACACTATTTCCTTAGAGGAATTAAGTCTACAATCTTTACCTAAACGGGGTCATCACCTTGATGTATTTTATTCTTGCTCAGGTCTATCGTGGCCTTAAATCCTGCATTTCCCTTTGTGAAATTGTTATCCTTCTTATTCCTCCCAGCTATCACATCGACTATGTTCTACCTTGATAGGGGTCAGTGACTCTACTCAAGCCCTATCGGACGTCCTTGGATATCTTGTAATCTGTAGGGTGGAAAACATGCTGATATAAGAGGATCCACAAAATTCGAGCACTCAAAACAACGACAATAAAGTAATATATAATAAAATAAAACGCGGTTACATCAAACAACCTGTCTACACACACAGACAAAACCTTCGCTTACACCCACATTTTCATTTGTTACATTTAACTACTCATAATATCCTAACCTTAAATGGCACAAACCAACACTTTTTATTTCTTTCTAAAACACACTTTAACCAGAATTTCTAACAATCTAACAATGAATCAGTGACCCGAAAACTCATGCTGAACATAATAAAAATGAAGAAAAATGACTCCATCCCAACTCCTTCCACAGGCACACTTTGCTCTAATCCGTCTGCTGTGAGTAACCGCTAGAAACAGAATGTCCCAAGCGGCTTTATTTTTTTCAATTCCCAAAACTCAACCATTTTTCTAGTCAGGAATAGTTGCTCGCGCAAAATCCCTAAATTCGGCAACTTGTTGGACTTTTCCTGTCGCACGAAGCAAAACTTGTCCGGGTCTTTCCACTGATCGGTAAACTATCTCTTCTAAATATACAACGCGATCGCCTGACAAGGAACGCAAGGCGTCAGCCGTGGTTCTGTCTTCTCGCCTTCCGGCCAGCCGTCTGGCGTTTAACCTAGGAATCCAATCTTACAAAAATCATACTTGTTATCTAATAAAATGGACACAACTTCTCATTGTTTGGTGTTTGTCCGTATAAAAATAAATATTGTCCTTCTGCTCGGTGCGCCTCTGCTGCCAACGCGGTGGGTAAACATCTGGAAATATTTTTAATGGGACTCCTCTCTCTCAATTACATTTACACCCATAAACGTAAAAACTTTTAACAGTATTTGTTCAAAATTCCAACATTCTGTACTGTGCAGTCTAAATTATCATGTTCACATTACCTCCTTCCATCTTTGCTTGTTTGTTTTGTTTATTTTTTATGTGTTAATGTGTTTTTCCTCGAGTGCTTGCATGTACTTTGTCTCTTAATTTATTGTCTCTCTGTCCACAATGAGATTACTTGTATATACACTGTGTTGTGTCTGTAAATGGCACTATAGCTCCTGAATTGGCACATAAATAATAAGGAATTGATTTGGCCGCGCCATAGCTTAAGCGATTAGTTGCTGGCTTCTCACCGCGGCGGCCCGTGTTCGATCCCCAAGTGTGGTCGAGTGGGATTTTTGTACGACAAAGTGGCGCTGGGTCGGGTTTTCTCCGAGTACTTCGGTTTCCCTTTGCAATCTTCATTCCACTAAATTCCCCATCATCATAATCATCGGGGGCAGGCTACAATAGGCCAATCAGTGGTCGCCGTACCGACTGAACCCCGTTGGACTCCACCCCCCACTAAGCGAATTAAAAAAAGTGATTTGATTTCATTCATCATCATTATCAATTTGTCGTTATCTGTTGCAGCCGAGACGCTACCCCCGCAGTGTAGACAGTGAGATACCCACAGACGGTCCTTAATTCGACTTCGCGGATGTGACAACAGAAGACGGCACAATCGCGCTTGTTTTGGTGCGCTACTGCAACACATCATTGATATGGAGACTTCTTCACACAGCCTGCACTATGAATGGAGCACTGATCTTCCAATTTCTCGCACTGTTATGTGCATTTAATATCACCGATATAGAACTTCACAGGAATTAAATAACAATTTATTTTACATAATTCTGTATTGACAATTCTAATGCCATTTGTAACATTCTTCAGTCTGTGAATAAATATGTAAACCTTGATGACAGCTCTATAAATTTTACCCGAAAGCTAATTATACTATTTGTTATACCGAGGGCCCAGACGTATCTCTTTATATGTTGCTAATCCATTCGGTCCTGGGTTCGATTCCCTAAGATTTCTTTTGATATTTCCGTATTAATTTATACACTTACAATTTCCTGTGCTGCAGATGCTTAAATTTAAAGAGTCAATAAATGGCAGGAAAATATTATCTTAACCGACAAATCCGCACACCTGAAATGAAGACATATATAAAATTTCGAAGACCGATCTTCGTCAACTTGCGCAAAGCACCTCAACTGCTCGAACACTGAGATCGTGGATTCGAATCCCACTAGAAGCATTGAAGTAGATCAGCGTTTATCTGTGTATTTTTTATCATGTACGTAATCGAACCCGGGCTGACGCGGTGAAAAGCCAGGGACTAACCGCTTGAGCTATGGCGCGGCCGAACAAAGGTATAATTTAGGAAGAAATAAATACATAGATAAACAATGGAAGGCAGAAAGAAAGAAGGAAAAGAAGCAATAGGAAGTAGGGAAAGCAGAATGCGATGTCCGAAGAACCTTGAAAATGTTGCTGAGTCACTTAGAATGCCGTGTCGCAATCTCCTATCTTATGAATAAGAAATTAGTCCACGTAAAGATACGAGTAGTGCTTTTGTTTGTGATAGAGCGGCCTCGTGATATTAAATTAGTTTCTGTTTTTAGTTTCTTCGTGTACGACGAGACTGAATCCACTAATTCGTCAATTGTACCAGCCCCGGGTGATAGATTATAAATGTGGATCAACAGTGGTATGAGAATCAGAAGTGGAAACAGAAGTACTTACAGAAATGCCGCCCAGTACCACTGTATCCACAATAAATACACCATGGCTTGACTTGGGCTCGAACTGGTCCACCGCAGTGGGAAGCATGAACTGATATTAAAATAACACATGACTGAATAATGAGTCACAACGGTCAAACTGTTGACTGGTCGAGATTGTAGAACGTGTCAAGTCCTAGATACACGGACATTGTAGGGGCTCAGAAAGAAGGTCATTCGGTTCTTAGCATCCCTTGCGGTTAGCCGATCTCCCATCCGAGGATTCGACTGGAAGCTACTTTCCTAGGCAGAACTACGAACCCAGAACTTCTTTGCTTCAGTTCAGTTATCGTATACGGTACCTGCAGGCTCCGTTTACTTGGGATGCTTTCCCATGTGTAAATTGTTCCGGGACATGAATATGACCAATCAATCCCCATATAGCACCAAGGTTAAGAGCGGGCGACTGTACAACGCCATTCCTCATCCATCGTCATGACGTGAAGCTTAATTAGCGCAGGGACAAACTTAGTTCAATCTATTTATGGCTCTACAGCCCTTTGTTGGACCTTGGCCTCTGTTTCAGTTTCTTGATCTCTTTACACACCTGGTAGGACTCCTTGGACGAGGGATTAGCCCGTCGCAAGGGCGTTACCTACACACAGGACGACGCAAACTCGGAATAAATTCACACAGACATCCATGCTTCAAGTGGGATTCGAACCCACGATCCCATTATTTGAGCGGAGGAAGACAGTTCATACCTTAGATCGCGTGGCCAATGTGTTTAGCCAACATTGGTTCTGCTACCAATTAAAGAATGCTTGCGCTCTTTAGATAGCAAAACTGCTTAGAGGCAAGAATGAAGCATATTTGTGGTATCACGTTGTGGGAATATACAGTTTGCAAACAGTGGAACGTAACCCCACAAATATGAGAACCTTAACTTCTGGCGGAGTGAAAACATAAGGCCTTTGGGCAGCAAATATTATTTCATAAAATAGTGATACAATAGTGTACGTATGATTTCCTTTGAAGAGCCAGTTATCTGAAGAACTGTTCACACATACAATTTCCCAGATAAACAATTACTGGCCGGTCACGGTAGCCGAGCGTTCTAAGACATGTACTGCTTTCGCCAGGTCGGAGTGCAGGATCGTGGGTTCGAATCCCATACAAGATGTAAGTGTTTGATATGTGTATATGTTTATTCTGTGTTTGTGTTGTCCT